CGCCTTTAAAACAGGGAAAATTATACACAACCTGAACCTAACTTAACCTTCTTTGATTTCCAGTCTGGACGAGCCAGCGATAAAGCTGAGCTTGTTCTCACATTTTGATCTCGATTGCCGGTATCACGCTACCAAAGACATCATTGATAAAAACATCACGCGCCGCGACCGCGCCTACCGCACCGCTCGCCCACTTCCTCTCCACCTGACTGTAGCCATTTCGCACAGAGATCGTCTGCGTTGATGAGGTCAGCATGGTCGAGTATCGCCCAACGTGCAAATTGACGCGCAAGAAAGAAGTTCTTGGTTCTTCCATTTCTTGGGTTCTGGGTTGTTTCTCATGGTTATCTCCAAACCACACCATTGCCCAGCTCTACCTTGATTTCCAATGGGCTGCACTTTCATCGTAAACTCTACCTGAAACATGAACCAAACATAACCCCGGGTCCTCCACTAGGAGGCGGCCCGCGCCATGACATTTGGAGCGGTAAGGTTGGCTACGTGGCGATGGGCGCGCTGCGCAATACATGTCTCTACTCGCTTCATTGGGGCCTGCTGCTCTTTTGCAATAGGCAGACCTCCTCTCGTTCCAGTTCCGATCTATCATTGCATCCTCCTTTTAAAGGGATTAACCGGTAGGGCAACATCGCCCTAAACTTTCAACGTGATGTGTATTCACGTTGCCTCAAAAACGATTTTGGAAGTCCGCTTACCATTAAAGCTTCACTCCCTAAATCCGCTTGATGTTATGCTTGCAATCGTAATGGTTTCACAGTGCACACTCTTTCTGTTCTCCGATTTCTCTTTTTCTGAACACTGTCTTATAAAGAGGTTTGTAATTATAGAAGAAGTTTCAGATGCGAACTGTTCTTATAGCTCTGTGTGTCATCAGTCTTTCGTCCCCATGGGTTATCTACAGGAGAAATCACAAGAAGAAACTCGTCTGCAAGGTATTTACGCGATTCACTTGAGATGATTTCTTTCCAGCAAAGTCTGATCGATAAATGCATGGAAATATTAGGTTGTCCCATAATTAGTGAATCACTTTACATTTATTGTTATTAAAAATCCAAGAAAAATGGTGAAGGCGTGAAACATGTTTTGCGAAGTAGCATCCACATTATCCTACCTGAGCAATTACTCAGCCCATTTCCATGCTGCCTTCCGTGGCTGATATTTCAATTTTTCTGGAACCTATTTTTGAGCTCCCTTCTTAATCACTT